CCCACCTCCCATCCTGATATGGGGCGCTCAGATCTCATGCTTGAGCCACAAAAGACATCTTTTGGGTGCCACCAGGGCTCAGCTCTGTGCTCCCCATAGAGCAGCACGGATGGAGCAGCCCCAGCCCTGGCTGCGAGGCAATGCAGGCTGGCACGCGCTGCCCAGCACACCCACGTTCCTTTTTCCCCCCCTTTTTCCTTCTTTTTGTTTTCAACAATACTGTTATAACACAAGTTCAGGAACCTCCCTGCTTTAATCCCCACCAGATAAACTAACAGCGGAGAGATTTGGAGTTATTGACGAAGTCTTGCTGCTCGGGTGAGATTAGAGCTCTGCTTAATCTTGTAGCAGGAGGGCTTGGGGACGGTTTAATCAGAATTTGTACAGGAATAATCCTGTCTTTAAACTCGTCCCCATCCCAATCCCCCCCTGGTTGCAATCAGGGGGCGGCTCTCTGATGAAGAGCCCCCAAAGGGGGGGAGGAGAGAGAAAAAAAAGGGGGGGTTTCTAGGCTTGTGGGATCCCACAGGGATGCACGGAGCTGAGGGGAGGTTGGAACTCAAGGCTTTGCATGCACCCCTGGGTGCATCCCCCATCCAGATGGGGAAACTGAGGCACTGAGCTTCAATGTAGGGGGGCAAAGCACAGAGCTTGGGGGCTCGTCTGGGCAACGGGGCCGTGGAGAATCCACCAAGGGACCCCCAGCTCCAAGAGGAAATAGAAAGCACCCACAAACCAGCATGCATCCATAAGGCCGTGCGTTTTGCTCCCCAAACCCAACCTGGTGCTGCTTCCTTCTCCCCTCCGTGCCTCAGTTTCCCCCCCCCCCCCCCTCCTCCCCCCCGGGGGGAAATAGGGAGCACCGCAGCCTCTGCGGCCGCTTTTGTGCACCGCTGTCCCTTTCAGGGAGCACAAAGACGGGACCCGGCGGCACAGATGGACCCTTTCAGAGGGGAGAGCTCTCCTTTCTCCGTCTGCCACCGGGCTCTGCCTTCCGTCGCAATCCCCCTTAATTGAATCCGCACTTTCATAGCTCATTACCCCCCTGATGGATTGGATTAGCCCGGGCTGCGGCCCGCCGGCCTCAGCGGGGAACAGTTGGCTGCTCCGCGTCCCCATGGGGTGTCCCTCACCGGGGGGGAGGAGGGGGGGGGGGGGGGGACAGGGGGAGAGGGGACACAGTCAGCCCCGGCCGTTGGTCACAGCTCACGGCAACTGCTGTGGCTCTGCAACGGCTGCAGACAGCTGTGGGTCAACAGCACCGGGAGCAGCATCCCATCAGTGTGCCTGATCCACACCCCCTGCTCTGTGCTGGGAGGGTTTTGGGGGGGGGGGGGGGGGCAGGGGGGGGATAGGGGGGGGGGATGCAGGAGGGATTCAGGGAGGATGCAGGAGGGATGTAGGGAGATGCAGGGGGGGATGCAATGGGGAGCGGATGGGAGGTGCAGGGGGGATGCAGGAGGGGTGCATGGGGAATGCAGGAAAGATGCAGGGGGAATGCAGGGAGGTGCAAGGAGGATATGTGGGGGATGAAGAAGGGATGCAGGAGGGATGCAACGGGATGCGGGGGGGTGGCTCTGAGCATTTCCATCGCTGCCCTCACACTGTGGCTGGAACGGAGCCTGCAGCTGTGAGAAGTGATGGAGAAGAGGGAGCTCTGACCCAAACGCCTCCAGGATCCCGGCACGCGTCGCTCCCCGCTCACGCTCCCATATGCGCTAACGGCCGCGCTGTGGGGCTGCGCTCGTTAACCCGGCGCTGAGCGCAGCCCCCAGCCCAGCTGCCAGCGATGCCCCCTCAGGAGGGGCTCTGGGTTTGCAGCCCAGAGGGAAACATTAACTGTGAGAGGAGGATTCGTGGTGCCCAGAGCCTGGCAGCAGGATTCAGCCCCTCTCCCACATCCCCAAATGAACGGGAGAAGGGAGCACAGCCGCTGGGTCTGTTCTAGGATGTTTAAAGGAACACCTGAGCTTATTTGGGGTCATGTCCTCTACTCAGGGCAGGGATAGCAGCTTTCTGAGCCCCCTCCTGCTCTCCCCGTGCTCGGGACAGCATCTCCCTCCTTGGCGCAGAGCTGAGCATTGCAGTGCAGGGCAGAGCGCGGGGTTGGTGCTGGGAGGGCGGGGGGCTGCTGGGGGGGCATTTCTGCCACAGCACTGAGCATAGAGAGCAGGATGGCAGGTGGCTGCATGACGTGGGGTTCTTTGCACGGGACAAGAAGAGAGGAGGGAGGCCTCCGAGGTGCCGCGTGCCCAGATGGAGCCCCAGCTCCGACATCTGATCGCCGCCGAGAGAACAGCGCCCGCGGCGTAAATGGTTTATCCTGTCCCCCTCTACATCCTCATCCTCTTAGCGCAGCGCCGTGCCGGGCAGCCCCGTGGGCTGTGTGACCAGATGTGGTCGGAGTCCCATCGGGGCAGTTAGGGCCGTATCGCTTACGGAAGGGGATTAAAGCTCAGCATCCCGCTCCCCAAGGCCTCTGGGATTAGGATGCCACACACAAACACACACAAGCAGGGCTCACAAGGAGCTGGGACCCTCCTCATCCTCACTCTGCAAAGCTCCCATGGGGACGGTGTGGCACTCAGGGTCTGGCTGTGGGGTTTAGGGGTGACCCATGGGGTGCGGGGCAGACCCATGCCAGCGTCGTCCCTCAGGAGGACAACTTTCCTGGGGGCCTCTTGCCCACGTTTGGAGCTTCTCAGCTTACCCAGGGGAATTATTTGGGGATGCAGACACGGTGCCCTGCTTAGAGGTGCTCACCGCATCCCGCAGCCCCTCTGCACGATGCCCGTCACCTTTGCGCATCCCCCAAAGCCGCATCTCAGGGCTGCTCTCTCAACCTCGCCTCGCATAACCCTGACTGTAGGAGGGGGCACATCTGCCAGGCGAGTTTCTGTGGGGCACCGCGGGGACGGCCCCGTTCCTCCTGGGTGCAGCCCCCCGCCTCCCCCACACTCCCTCTCAGCCCCACATCCCCGACTGCGCTCAGGTGGGGGATGCGGCCGCGTGTCCCCCCCGAGATTGAGCATCGTCCCCATCAGACGCAGCTCTGGGGGGGCCCCGAGTCCCCAAGCTGGCAACAGATGGCTGGAGGCAGCTTGCTGACACCTGCCCCTCCTCTCTGCCCTGCTCCTGCCCTTCCCTTTCTTCTCCGCTTGTTTTGTTTCATTTCCCAACACTTTCTGGGGGTTCCTCTCCTCTCTGCAGAGTCTGTCCCCAGGGCGGGGAGACGGGGAGGGATGGGGTGGCCCTAGGGAAGGTCTTGGGGTCCCTTCCAGCAGTGCACAGTGTGCCGGACCCCAATGGATCTTCAAGGTCCTTGGCCACGTTCCTATGGATGCTGTGGGTCAAGGCTGGAGCAGGGACCGTGCCCACACCGACCCTCTGGCTGTGCTCTGCTGCTGGGTGTTATCTGCAGCCTTCAGGTCCCGGCTGCCAGCTTCCAGACGAAGCTGATTCCCAGGAACGTGCCCTCCTCCTTCCTTCTTGCACCTCCGGAGTCTGCAGCAACAAGGGAACATCCTCCTGGATGCAGCCAAAGTGAATAGCAGCTCCCCAGCATCCCCCAAGCATCTCTCAGCACTTCACCCCATTCCCATCGCAGCAGAATGGGAGCGGGGTGGGTGAGCTGTTCCTGCTGGGCTTTGCCTCCGTTCACCCCAGAAACGGCTGCAGGGAAATCAGCCCTGGGTGCCCTGCAGCTGCAAAGAGGAGAGCTGCAACCTCCGCGGTGCTGGGATCCTGCTGGATGGACAGGAAAGGGCAGTTGGGCATCACGGGGAGGATATCTGAGGTGGGCACGTGGAGGATGGGGTTGGGGAGGAGGAGCTGGGTGCTGTGCCAGGGCAGCCCTGCAACAAGCAGCCGCCACCAGCTGCCTCGACAGCTCCACCAGAAAGCTTTAGGGTGAGCTCCAGCAAGCAGATACGTGGGGCATCATCACCCCCCTGCGCTCTGCCCTGTGCAATCTGCCCCTTGCAAACCCATCCCAACAGGAGAGCATCCCCCCGCAGCTCCTGGGCTGCTGCATGCGTCCGAATGCATGGCACAGAGCTGGGGAAAGAGAGAGAGATCCACCCCCCCAACCCCGCACCCGGCCGTCCCACCCCCCCAACGCTCCCCAGTGCATCCCTATAAATCACGCTCTGGCATGCCCCCCTCCCCTTCGGCGGGGTTTGGGGGGTCACCTGTGACCCCTGGCAGATGGCGCGGGGACGCCCAGCCCTCCGCCAGGAACTGTTGCAGCCGCCATCTGTCGGGCAGCTCCAATCTCAGCAGTGCTGCCCGCCAGAGCAGCATCCCCACCCTGGGACCCCGTGCTGCTGCAAAAGAGGGGAGGGGGGGAAGGATGTAAATGGGGGGGGAGGATGTAAATAGGGTGGGACACACGCATACACACATAAAGTTGCCCTGCTGCTCGCGACTGTCCTGCCAGGAGCACCCGAAATCCTAAGGAGAGGAGGAAAGGGCGTACGTGTGAGGCTGAGCAGGGGGAGGAGCGGTTTTGAGGGGGCTCAGCACAGTTTTTGGGGTCTTTGTCAACCCCAGGGTGTGGGGGCTTTGTGGGGATGTGGGGGGATGGAGTTACAGTAGGTGTTGTCTCCTTTGGACAAGCTGCACACGGGGCTCCCGGGTTTGCGCTCTGTGCTGGGGGGCACTGGGGAGAGCTGGGGGTCTCTGGGGAGAGTTCAGCTGGGCTTCGGTGCAGGCAGCCCCCAGTTCCCCTGCGATGGTCCTCAGGGAGGGGACACAGCCTCAGGGACACAGCTTGAGGGACACAGAAGCTCAGAGGGCCCCAGTGGGGCAATTCCTTGGGGCAGGACCCACTGGAGCAGGAATTAGCCCGTTAGCACCCAGCTGGCTGCATGGCTGGGAGAAAGAGGGGTGGGGCACAATTTTTGGGGTGCTGCTCCAGATGGGTGAGCAGCACGGAGGCCCCCAAACCCACCCTGACCCACAGCAGTGAGGAACTGAACGCGTTTCCTTCCAGCCTCAGTATTTATTCCACTTGAGGTTGCTTCTGTCCACTGCAAATCCCTCGCAGCTCCCCGGCTCTCCTGCTGTCAGCAGGCAGTGCCACACTCCATGGCACCGGGGCTGCCACCTCCATCCCCCCACAGCCTCCATATGGGCTGTCCTGCTCCACACAGGTCCCGTGGCCATCCGTCTCCCAGGGCAGGATCACTCCTGCCCCATATAGGGGGCCGTGCTGTGGGGCAGCCCATGGCCCCGGAGCAGAGGGGCTGCAGATGCCCCGTTCCTCCTGGCCGGGACGTGGATGGGCTCAGGGTGAGATGACATAGGCAGTGGCGATGTATTTCTTGCCATGGCCATAGGTGGACTTGGTCCAGGTGTAGGTCTGGATGCTGACGCCGTGGCCACCCAAGCTCAGGTGACATCTGTGGGGACATACAGCTCTGCCCCACACCATCGCCTCCATAGGGTGTCCCCATGCCTCCAACCCCACCCCAAAGCTGAGGGCAGTGGGACCTGGCTCAGCTGCTCCACAGGGTTTCCCAAATCCAGAGTGGGGACAGGAAGGCGCCGCCGGCTCCGTGGCCAGAGGACAGACAGACGGACGCAGTACTTACGCCCTCCCAGGTCGGGCAATGAAGCACAACGTGTAGATGCCAAATTCAAACTCGGGGCTGCAGCCGATGAAGGCAGAGCCCACCTCCTTGTAGAAGCCGTCCCAGCTGAACTGCAGCCCCAGTACATCAGGGTAGGTGTCCCACTGGAAGCAGCAGAAAGGGGTTTGGGGATGAGATCCTCCATAGCAGGGCATGGGAGCCAAGCAAAGCCTGGCTGCACCCCAAGCAGGTCACTCCCAGCCCCACATCTGCCCCATTCGCCCATTGCAGTGGGACCTGCCCACCCTGCTTCCGTCCCAAGGCCCCTATACGGGGACGCAGCAGGCTGAGTAGCTCTGCCCCACATCCTGGGGGTCTTGGGATGCGGCTGATGGAGTGGGGTCAGCGCTCCCTGCCCAAATCCTGCATTGCCCCATGGCATGGCTCACCGGCCCATCAAAGTTGTGGCTGAAGTAGTTGACCAGTCCCTGCTTTTCCAGGAGGTAGAAGCGGATCCAGTTGTGAAATCCACTCACTTTCCCTTTCTTAATCTCCCCTAAACACAAAGGAGAATCAAAGTGAGCCGGGCACCCTCACCCCAAATCCCCCAGCTTTGCCCCCCTTTTAAACCAGGGATGTGCTCAGATGGGGCCGAACGCCCCAAATCCCAGCTCTGCTTCACTGTGCCTCCCCCAGCCCAACCCAAATCCCCCATCCAGGACCCCAAGGAGCCGCCCCACGTTCCCCATCCTCCTGGGGTGCGCTCCACCTGAGAAGACGTGCTCGAAGCCGCTGGAGTCCTTCTCTCCATCACCTCGGGAGTAGAGCCCAAACCACATCTCCTTCAGATCCTGCAGGAATTCCTCCTCGGAGCTGTAACGATCTGTATGCAGAAGGAATGAGCTGCTGGATCAGCACACGGACCCCATCACGGCCGGCCCCGGCCTTGATCCAACGCTCACTTTTTTGATGGAGGAAAGCAAAAAGTTTCTTCATGAGCTCCGTCTTCATCACCTCCCGGAGGAAGACGTTCTGCTCCTGCAGCTCCTCGGCCGTCACCTCCTCCTCACGACCCGTCGCCCTCTGGTAGTTGTCCAGCAAACGGATGAAGCTGGCGTAGGTGGGTTTGGAGAAGAGCTTCTCGTTGACGTATGCGTAGAGCCTGGGAGAGAGCAGGACGTGAGCTGGGGAGGAGAGGGGTAGGAAGGTCCTATAGAGGGGTCCGGGTGGGCTGAATCCATGGGTTGAGGTCAATGGGATGAGGTTCAATAGGGCCAAGTGCTGCACTTGGGTCATAGCAACCAGCCAGGAAAGACATGGAGGTGTTGGAGTGCGTCCAGAGAGGGGAATGGAGCTGGGAGGGGTCTGGAACACAGATGTGATGGGGACTGGGGTGGTTCACTCTCGAAGGGAGGATCAGGGGTGACATTATTGCTCTCAACAGCGCCCTGAAAGGAGGTTGGGGTGAGGAGGGGATGAGAAATGACGGCCTTCGGTTGCACCAGGGGAGCTTCATGTTGGATATTACGAACAATTTCTTCTCCAAAAGAGTGGTAATGCATTGGCATGGAGTGCCCAGGGAGGTGGTGGGGCCGCCGACCCAGGAGGGGACAAGGAATGGCAAGGATGTGGCACTTGGGGACGAGGTCAGCAGGCATGGGGGAACGGGCTGGGGTTGGACCTCGAGATCCTGGAGGTCTTTTCCAACCTGAATGATTCCATGATTCTACAGCTCTATGAGTAGAGACCCCACATGAAAACCATCCCTGCCCCCAAGCCCAGCTGTTGGGGTCCTGACCACGGCATCCCCTTGGAACCATAGAATCATTAAGGCTGGAAAAGCCCTTTAAGACCACCCAGCCCAACCTCCCGGCCGTGCACTGGTGAAACACACTCACGGCTCGGGGGAGCGATCCTCCTGGAGCCCCGTTTGGTCGGGGTCAACCTGGTGCTGTGGGTTGATGGCGATGTCTTTGGGTTGAGCCTTGTTGCGATCCGCCCCATAGAGCTGCTCGGAGACGTGGAGCAGCTCCTCATCGCTGATGGCATCGTGGCTGCTGGAGAAGTGCTCTGAGGAGAGAGATGGGAGCTGGGGGGGCATGGCATGACCCCAGAGCATGGAGGGTTGCTCCCAGCCAGCACCAAGCCCTCCTTTTTTGGGTAAAGGCCTTCAGGTGCGATGCTGCTCCCCGCAATCCCTGTGGGGTGATGCTGCTCACCTTCAGCACGTCTGTGCACCGCTTCCTCACCTGCACAGAGCCAAGAGAAGAGCTCAGGGTGAAGGAGCTGCGCCCAGCACCGTGCACCCAACGGCAAAGCAGCGCAGGAGGATGCATTCAGCCCTCTGCACCCCATTGCTGGGTGCTGCCCACCCATCCATGCTCACCCTCCCCGCAGTGCTCCAGGTAATCCCAGCAGCAGCTGTTGCGGCTCCGGCAGTCGGCGTCGCAGTGGCACTCATCCTCGTGGCTGTAGGGTTCCTCGCAGCGTCCCCTGCAGGAGTCGGGGTCCGTGTACAGGGCTTTGGGGGAGAGAAACAACAGTGTGGTTCTGTGGGGCGGGCCAGCAGCCCTGCTCCATCCAGACCCAAATCCGGGAGCGGATCTTCCTTCTGGGTCCTGGTGGACAGCAAGGAGACAGCATGGGGATGAAGGGACAGCATGGGGACAGCCACACTGGGGGTGTGCAGGGGGGAGAAGAGGAACTCTGGCTGCTGTGGGGCTGAGCAGCCCCTCAATCTGCAGCATCCCAGTGCCCAAAGCGCTGGCTTTGCGCCCTGACACCATTCCCTCCTCATTTTGGCAGAGCAAAACGGACCAAGCTCCACGGCTGGAGCTTACTCGGGAACCTTTGGGATGGATGAGTTGGGTTTGGATCAGGTGAGTCCTCAGGACAGCTTCTCTGTGGTCATTCAGCTACAGAGACGTTGCGGCCACTTGGCACCAGGAAGCGCCTTCCTGGCTCCTTCATTCATCCCTGCCCTGATTCACCCACTAATGCCCGCCTCAGCCCATGGCCCAGAGCAGCACCGCATTCCAGACGCCTTTATTTGCAATTCGCAATGAAAACAGGGGACTCCTTGCTGAGCTATTTACACCATCCATGCATCATGCAGCTCCATTACGCACCTAAAATTAGAGCTGAGCCCCAAGCTGTGCTATGAGCAGCGCCAACATCGTGTCCCAAAAGGACGAGGGGCCCTCGCAGGGTGCTGTATGGCACCAAGGTGAGAGACAGCATTGGCAAACCCCAACCTTTGTCGTGACCTCTGAGTGTTGCACTGAGCGATTTCTCCCTGCAACCGCATCCATTGCTCTGCTGTTGTGCGTTTCGCCCCAGTTCTGCTGTTTTGGAGCTGCCAAACTACAGGGGGTGGTGGGAGGGAAGAACCTCTCTGCCTCAGCACCTCTGGTTGCGCACTGCTGAGTGCTGCTTGGCTTCCTGGGGTGCTCCTGGAGGAGATTCGCCCGTGGTTCTACTTTGTCCCATCCGGTGGTTTGAGGTGAGCGCTGCTCCATCTGCCCCCAGGTCACCCAGCTGAGCAGGTCTGGAGCCCCAGTGGAGATGAGCAGCAGCAATCCCTGTCTTGTTTCCATCCCTCTCACTCCCAAAGCACCAGTGGGGATCAGTCACCCCGAATGACACATCCAGGCTCATTTTCCAGCTGCAGCCATGGAGGGATTGCACAAGGCAGGAACTGCCCACGCGTGGGTCAGCGCTGAGAAGTTCCCTGAGCGTGTTATGGCAAAGCCCAGCACTGGGATGCACTGCAGCTCAGCAGGGCTGGGAGCTGCACAGAGCCTTCAGAGAGAGCTCAGCATCGGCCGTTCCCTTCCAAGGCTCAGGTGCAAGAAGAGCTGCAGCATCCCAGGCTTTTCCCTGCAGTGGGATGGCTGCAGGAGGGTGTTTGCTCACCAGGTTTGAACCTAAAAACAGCCATAGGGCAGCCTGCAACTCTTCATGGTTACGTTAGAACTGCTGGAACACTCTCTGGGGAGAAGAACCAAAGGGAGAGCTGGCAGTGCTGAAGGAGGTCAGGAGGAGAGGGATGTGTCCTGCAGTGCTCAGCATCTGTGCATCTGTGCAATGCTGTGCCCAAAGGATGCTGTGCCAAAATGCTGGGCCCAAAGGATGCTGTGCCCAGGGGTTGCTGTGCCCAAAGGATGCTGTGCCCAAAGGATGCTGTGCCCAGGGGATGCTGTGCCCAAAAGATGCTGGGATCTGTGTGGAGAGACCAGGGCTCGTCCTCCTGCCCTCATCTCTGGCCCATCACTCCCCTACACAGGACTCAATCTTCCTGCCCTCCCCCGGCAGAATCCTCTCCCGATGGTTGCCAAATGAGGCAAGTTGAGGACAGATGTGGTTTTGGCAGCCAAATCCTCAGGATGGCCCCCAAACGACGGAGTCTGCATTGAGTTTGTGCCAAGATCAGTGGATACTCTGCCTGCATGGAGCCAAAAAGCCCTTCAGCTCCTCAGCCAGAGCCGTGCTTCCTCACGAGGGTCATTAATCAGGATGAGAACGTGGTGACTCCTCATGGGCAGCCCAACGTGGAAGCAGCTCCTCTTACACCTTGGCCTTGCAAAACTCCTCACTGCTCATCCTGGGTTGAGCCGCCTGCTCCTGGAGCGTCAGACACAGCTCACAGCATCAGAATGGTGATGAAACTCCTTTGCTCGAGAACAGACCACAGGTCCACACTTCATCCAAGAATGCAGCAGCGGCAGCAGCTCATCACGTGCGGCGTGCCGATGAGCAGAGCCAAAAGCACGATGCTCAGGTGCTGCTCCTTATTGCAGCAGCCATCCCTACCCATGCATCCTTTAAGCCCTGCTCTGCCCCATCTCTCAAACCCTTTTTTTGTGCATTGCATTGCATTGCAGCTCCTGGCCATATAGAGCGGGGCAGAGCCCTCTAACTCACACCAACAGCTGCAGGGATGATCCCCGAGCTCCACAAGCACCTCTTGTGTGACCGATGATGGGGTGACCAAACCCGCTGCCACCAGACCTGTCCCACAGGTGCTGCCTTGTCGACCCGGGATGCTCGCAGCCCTGGAAGCTGCAGGCAGTTCTGGTGATGCACAGGGAGGTGATGACAGCTTTCACACTGCTTTGCTCACTGCCCGAGGTGTGAGCTGGCTCGAGGTGAAGCCAGGTGAGAGCCTGGGGTGCTGGGAGCCCCAAAGCATCCCGGTGTGCTTCCAGTCTGAGCGCTGGAGCTGTGCTGGTGTGGCTGTGCTGGTGTTGCTCTGTGGCTGAGCTGTGCTGTCTGGGAGCTTTGGCTGGTGCTTGCCGTGGGCAAAACATCCAGATTCATGTTGTGCCTCGCAGTCGCTGGGCTCCACCACCCCCCATCCAGCAGCAGGTTTGTGGGTAAGGAAGTGGAGAAATCGCCCTCGTTGCTCTCCCAGGATGAAGGAGCAGAGGGAAGGTGGGTTTACAGGAGAAGAGCACGGCAGCGTGCCCAAAACCCAGCCAAGAGAAGGACAACCCCCATTCCATCACCAGTAGAAACCCCAGGGAAACCCTCCAGCATGGAAATATCCCCCACTCTTTGGGAAAGATCCGACCCCGTTCCAAGCACCTGGTGCACCTTGAGCTCCCCACTCCCCAAATCCCCCCTTCTTTCAGCCCAGTGCGGCCCCCTCCCCACGCAGAGCTCTGGTACTCACAGCCCAAGGCCATTCCCACCCCGAGGAAGAGGATGAAGGCCTTCATCATCCCGGTGCTTCGCAGCATCTCAGCTCTCTGGCAGTAACGTGGGTGCTGCTGAGCTCTCCCTGCTATATGCGGGTCCCCAGAGCGGAGGGAGGAGCCTGGTGAAACCAAGGACCTCACTGCAGGCTGCACCCCAACTTCACCAGAGCTCATTACGTGTGTGTCCTAATTACAGCCTGCCCAGAGTGGGAGGAGGGCTGGTAATTCCAGCTCCTGGGATTGCTCCACTTCTCTGTCTGCACTTCCCCAGGGTGACGGTTGTGGAGCAAAGGGAAAGCATCTTGGGGGGGTTGGGAGGGGGGGTCCTCACCTCCAAGGGGGATCAGGGTGGGTATTGGTGTCTCTGGGTGCTGCATCCCCGCATCCCCCTGCCTGTGCTTCCCCAGAGAGCCCCGCCACCAGCCCGGCGTGCAGCCCTGGGAGCTGCATTTTCCTTCTGCCCACCCCCTCCTCATCACCACCAGCAAGATCCACGACCACCCCCCCTCCAAACCCCCACTCCAAGCAGATGTCCCTGCTCTGAACAGCACCCAGCCCAGTGGATGCAACCTGTGACCCCTCCAGCAGCACCCATCCTGACCCCACATTGCACCCCTTGGCACACAGCTGAGCAGTTCCGTAAGGAAAAAAGGTTTGGCATCCTTCTCACCCCTCTGTCATTTCCTATCCTCCTCCCTGAGCTGCTGACCCCGCTGACACGTCCGTGCTGACAGCAGTTTTGTTTTCTGGGATGATTCGGTGTCATCATGAGCTGAGTGTGCACGAGCTGCCTCTCACACCCTGCACATGACCAAGCTGGGAGATGCTGTAAGATTTGGGATTTTCTCATGCCTGTAATTGCTTTGGGACCAGCTTGCCATCACCCTCAGGCACCCGGGTTGGGCTCTGATGAATGCCAGTTGTTCAACACCGATGGGGAAAATGCCTAACAAGCAGCAAAGGTGGAGGAAACAGGGAAAAGAAAGAAAGATTCCTGGCTGCAAGAAGTTGAGAGCGATACCCAGGCACTGGGTTTTGGCTGCGGCCATGGGGCGTCCATTCTGCTCCTCTCCAGGATGCTGGGATGGGCGATGGGTCCTTCAGCCCCACAGGAGGAAGAGGAGGAGATGTTGGGATGTGGAGCAGCCCCATGGAGGAGGTGGGAGCCCAGCACCTGCCCTCTTCTCTTGCACCCAGAGCTTCTCCCCATGGAGGGCAGCGACCTTGTGGGGCTTCTGCTCCCCATGGGAACAGCTGGTGGGGTGGGATCTAAAGGAGGAGGTGCTCCTGGGGAAATCCCAGCGCGGGTTTAGCTTATGGAAAGTGTAGGGAACGGGGTGTGCTTGAACCAGGGGAAGCAGACAGGGCTCAGCTTTTCCAATCAAGCAGAGATGCCTGCAGCCAAGCCTGATGTTGGGGCCAGCGTCGTGTCTGCAGGAGGAAGGGAGAAGCCCTGGGACACAACCAGGCAGCAGATCTGCAGGCTGAAGGTAATCCTCAGGCTGGGATCCAGCTGGAAAGCGCACAGCTTCCACTTAACCCTTCCTTCACCAAAATGAGCTCCTCCACATCAGAGCTCCTTGAGGGCAAGGAACCTGGAGAAGGTGATGGAAGGAGCTCCGGGCTGCCTGATTTGGGGCCACATGGCAAGGAATCACTGCTCTGCTTTGCCCCAGCTCATCTGGATGTGGTCAGGGGATGGTTCAGGTGGAGCCCAAAACCAGGGGGACACAGGGTGATAAGAGTTGGTCCCAGCTTTCCAAATGGGGATGTTTAGCAGAGCAGGACTTGCTCCAGCACTGACACCGTGCTGTGTTATCACACCTGTGTTATCAACCCAGGGCCAAACACCTCAGGAGTGTTTTTGGGGAGTGCAGAGGCCTGCTGAGCGTTGGGGGCTCAGAGCTGGGCTGTGTGTGGCTGCAGGAGGATGGACCTATGGCAGAGCTGAGGTCAGTGCCCAGCACTGCCCAGATCTGTGTGGGTCACACCTGGATCCCAAACGGTGAAACGCTTCACTCAGGAACCAAGGAAGATGGGAACCGGACCCCCTGTCCAACCCCACTGGTGGAACAACCCCAGAACCGAGGAGCAGAGGATCCCAAGGGCCATGGCATGAACACAGGGGGGTCCCAGGACCCCATGTCCCACCCTGGAGCTGGCTGCAACATTTGAATCTTCTCTTAGCTGTGATGGGGAATTTTATTGTAAGCAACCCAACCCCCTGAACTGTGAGGTGGAACTCAGCAGTGCTCCGGTCCCTTGTACCCCAGCCTTGCTTGGTACCCTGCAAACGTGGGAAGACTTTAGGGGCAGGGATCAGCCTTGAAGCCCACAGCCCCATTCCTCCTGCTTATAGCACTGGGACAATCATTGCTCCATGCACAGCCAGAGGTGCAGGGAGGGGTGAGTGGGGGCTTGGGAACAGCTTGATCTGATCCCCGTCTCCATCACTGCATCTTCCTCCCACCACAACAGAGGCTGTCGCATCTCTGCTGCTGTTCTTCCCCTGTCCATGTGGGGAAACCGAGGCACGCAAGTGGCTGAGCTTAGCCCAAGCTGTGCTCCTGGGTCCATGCAGCTCCAGGGAGCTGAGATGGAGAACACAGCACATCCCAGGGGGCAAACAGGACAGAGGGATGGAGCGCAGCACCCCCAGAGCAGGCAGCATTGGTGCTGGGGGCACCCAGGGCACCCCGACAGCGCAAGGAGCGAATGCAGGCTGCTGCATGGAGAAATAAGGTGAGCACAGCCTTGCATACAAAAATACCTCTATTGCTCACTGCGTGGGGGCTGCAGACCCTGCTGTCCGTGGCCTCACCTGCCCACAGCCCCCGTGAGCTCCCGACTGCACGGACAGGTCTGGCTCCCATAGCAGAGCCACGGGGCTGCTGTGCCATCAGCACACACAGTGCCACGTCCCTGCTGAGTCCTGGCTCCCTTTCCCTCCTGCCCATCAGGACTCCAGGTCTCTGGAGAGCCGCAGCAGCTCCTTCTGGCTGTCGATGGCTTTCAGGTGCTGCAGATACGCCCAGGTGGAGACGGGGCTCCGCACGCTCAGCGACTGCTCCGAGCCTGCAGGGTGATGGATGGGCTCAGTGAGACCCCCCTCCTCATTGCTCACGTCCCCATCTCTGCCTGCAGCCTGACCCACGGATCCTCCTCTGTCCCCCCCAACTTGGCTTGTGGGTCCTCCTAAACTGCCCACCTCATTGCAATCCCCTTCATCACCCCAACTTGGTTCGTGGGTCCCCCCTCTCGCCCATTTTGAAGCCCCTCCATCATCTCCTGTTGGGTTCTTGGGTCCCCTCTCTTGCTCAGCTCACTGAAATCCCCTCCATCTTCTCAACTGCGGCTTTCTGATCCTCCTCCATCACCCTTAGCTCAACTCACTGAACCCTCTTCGTGTGGCTCACGGATCCCCTCTATTCCCCACTGTAAATCTCAATGAAATCCCCCCAACACCTCCAAGGTTTCAGTCCCAGGACCCTCCCACCTCCCCCTTGGCACTAAAGGAGCAGAAGAAAATGGGAACAGGTGCGTTCCATGAGGCAAAGTGATGCCCAGCTGGAAATGCCGAGGCACCAACAACACCATCCCAGTGTTTGCATCCCTCCACTTTTAAAGAACAACAGGCACACCAGTGGACCCTATTAATGCACTTAACGAGTAAACCTCATTAAGAGCCCAGCCCCACACCTACATGTGCTGATCCTGACGGCCCTGGCATCCTCTGGTCGGTGTGGGGAGCGATTCCGCAGTGGGGACAGCGGGGCTGGGTGCATACAGAAAGCAGGAGCTGAGCGACGGCCCCCCCGCCCCATGACACCCCTACCCCCATGACAACCCAAACCCCACGACCCCCCCAGCCCCACTCACCATGTGCCTGGCCCCGGCAGCGCTGCAGGACGCGCACCGTCTTCGCCATCATGTGCTGTGGGCAATGCACACAGAGGTTGACTCGTTGCCACCCAGCACCATTTTGCTCCCAGCTGGGAACACACCCTGCAGCTTCAGCAGAAACTGCCCTCCTCACCCCCACCGTGGGGCACGGCTGATGCTGCTTGGATGCTCTGGGCCAAGCAGCACCATCACCATCACCATCACCATCACCATCACCATCAGACCATCACCAAAGGGTGGTCCATGGGGAGCAGCCCCCCACCACCACTCACCATCTTCTCAAAGTTGATGAGGTTCTCGGCCAGCGTGCGGTTGCCCTCGTGGATGAAGGTCAAGTCTGCAACAGGATGGGATGGGGGTGGAGGGCAGGGGGGGGGGGTGTCGGGGTGAGCCCTGGGTTTGGTTTCTCAGTCCCCTGCGTGCGCAAAGCTGTGGTACGCACCTTTAAGGAGGAGGGGGACGAAGGGGATGATGGGGGGGCTCAGCTTGGCGACGGCCAGACGATAGACCCGGTGGTTCCATGATGGGTCCTGGGGACAGGCAGAGGGATGGGGGCTGATGGGGCAGCAGAGATGTGGGGAGGGGGTGCCCTGGAACAGCGCATCCCAAACATGGGAGCACACGTTGCACCACCTCCGTGCCATCGTTGTGTATTAGGGGAAGCAGGAGCAGCATGGAGTGGCAGTAAACCCAGAGATATGGGGCAGGCACAGAACCCCCCAGCTCTGCTTCCTGACCCCTAAACCCCATCCCATCACCAAGACCCTCCAGCTCCATGGGAAGCAGCTGCACTCACCAGCATCCGCTCCAGCGCTGCGTGCAGCTTACGGATCTTGTGGGGCAGCCTCTGCACAGAGAGGGGGTCAGGATGGCCCCACGAACCACCGTCCCCAACCCCCCTAAATCTCCATGCACCTCCAAGACCCCCATCCCAATTCCCCTCTTTGGGATCTGTGATGTTGCTTGGTCTGGGTGCTTGGCAGCAACGGACCTTCCAACCCAACCATCCCATGGTTCCATGATCTTTAAGGACCTTT